TAAACTCAATATACATTATTATTTTTCTTTAATTAATTAATTTTTATGGTGACATTGGTTAACGAATTCCAATAAGTTTTAGCTGTACACTTTAAGAGTAAGGCATATATATATTTATACTGTGTGTTTATCTCCCATAGTTAGATTTCTTACTGTCACCACATATTTGACCCCCTTTATCCCATTTACCTCCCCTTTCCCTCTTTCCCCTACCCTCTGGAACCACTAGTCTGTAGCCCATGTCCTTGAGTCTCCATTTGTTTGTCCTGTTCATTTGTTGCTTTTAGGTTTATATCCCACATATAAGTGATATCATGTGATTTTCAACTTTTTCTGTCTGGGTTATTACACTTAGCATGATTATCTCGAGGTCCATCCATATTGTCAATATGTATTATTTTTTATGTCCAAAAATTGCATATTATTAATGACTGCCTTAGTGTAGTCCAAATTTCCTCTTGAATATTTGGATTATATTTTCAATTGTGTCAGTATTTTAACAATGCTATAATAAGTAGCCTTGTACATTACATTTTCATTTATCTGATTTTTTTCTTAAGTATAAATCTAGAAGTGAAATTGCTGAAACAAATAGTATGTACTTTTTTAAATGGCTTTTGATATGTTACCGCTAAAATGCTCCCCAGAGAGCACATGCAAGTCTACACTCCTACCAGCAATTTATGAAGTTGCTTGGTTACCAACATTAGTATCAAGTTTTACCGTTTTTGTCCATTTATTAGGCAAAAAATATTTAGATTGTTAAAGCTGGAAGAGACCTTGGAGATCCAGACCATTCTGATTAATGTCTTATTATAATTTTTTAAATTAAATTTATGGATGTGACATTGGTTAATAATAAGATTATATGTTTCAAGTGTACAATTCTGTATATAATACATTGTCTGTATATTGCATCGCATGCTCACCACCCAAAGTTTAGTCTCCTTCTGTTACCATGTATTTAACCCCCTTTACCCTCTTCGACCTCCCTTCATCCCCTTTCCCCTCTGGTAACCACCATACTGTTGTCTATGTCAATGAATTTTTGTTTATTTTCTTTGTTCTCTGTTTTACATCCCCCATATGAGTGACATCATATGGTTCTTGTCCTTTTCCGTCTAACTTATTTTGCTTAGCACAATCTTCTCGGGATCCATTCATGTCTCAAATGAACAATTTTTAGTATGAGAGAGAAAATGCTCTTTTTTACATTCTATTCTAAAACAATCATGTATAGAGTGTCTTACCTAATCACCAGTAATGGTAAGTTCTCTGGTCCTGGTGAAGTTGTTGAAAGTGTTGAAAATTTTATAATTTTCTATGAAAATCATTCTGAACTATAGTGTGATTAAAAATAGAAATGGCTTATTGCAAACATCAACTTTGGAGAAGCATCTTATCTTCATCCATAGTGGATTACTGCTTTCACAATGCCTCTGTTGGCGGTGATACTTCTGAAGTGCCAACTTTGTCATGCTTCTGGGCTATGTCTGTGATTCATTTCACTAAACACTTCCGTGTTGTGTGTAATCTCTATCATTTCCTAATAAACACAGTCTCTCTTTCCTCACTATTCCTGTTCTCATACTGTTTCATGGTGTGTTTCCATTTTGTTGGATTTCTAACTGTGGAATTTCATTTTCTCTCCTCATTCACCCACAGGCATCAATGACCCTGTAATGCGGTATACAAACATGCCCTTTCTTAGCCGTAGCAGTGATGAATTGAAGAATGCTATAGTGTTTTCCAAGTCAACAGGGGCAATGCCTGCCCAGGAGAAAGTAGAAACACCCCTCAAGGCTAGTGTGGAAGCATACCCCGAGGTGAGCGTGAAAGCACCCCCCGAGGTGAGTGTGGAAGAAATTCTTAACAGAGCGGAAGAAATATCACCCGAAGGAAGCTTGGATGCGTCCCTCGGGAGCGTGGATCCATCACCCGAGGTGAGCATGGACTCATCTCCTGAGGTGAGCATGGAGTCATCCCCTAGAATGATCATGGAAATATTATCTGAGACGAGCATGGACATATTCCTCGAGGCTAGCATGGAAACAATCCCTGAGGAGAGCACGGAAGCAATATCCGAAGAAAGCAAGGAAGTACCCTCTGTGGCAAATGTGGAAGTGCCCCCCAAGTCATCCCCTGAGGTGAACGTGGAAACGCCTTCTGAGGTGAATGTGGAAAGATCTGAGGTGAACGTGGAAACACCTGAGGTGAACGTGGAAAGACCTGAGGTGAACGTGGAAACGCCTTCTGAGGTGAATGTCGAAAGATCTGAGGTGAACGTGGTAACATCTTCTGAGGTGAAAGTGAGAGACACTCCACAGGTTTGTCAAGTGCCTTTTATTGACCAATCTTCTATTAAAATCTGTATATTTAATTGTATAGATTGTGGTAGGTCACGTTTCCCAATATTAACAACTTATTATTTATAGTGTTCTGCAATAAACTTATTAAAATAGGATAACTCACTTGAATGATTTTATGATTTTAAAACCAGAGTTTCACCCAAAGCTGAAATATTAATTTTTAGTAGAAGGGAGAAGATATAACAGTTTATATGGACTGTGCTTCTAAACTCCAAAGAAATGTTTGAGAATTATTGCAAACCCTTAATTAAGATTTAGAAATAGAATTAGGTTTTGAAGTAAAACATTTCTTTTAAATTAATTATTTATATGACCTTGCTTGAATTGTGTAATATGAATTGTTAGTCAGAATTGTTAGTCTAGAAGAACGTATCTCTACCTAATTCTCATGCATGAAAGGAAAATTGAGAGTTTAAGGAGCTGTAATTATGTTTTAGTCAGTATTTTTCTCTTAAAAAGAAAACCCAGCCGCAGTAAGGCAAATGCTAGTAATTTCTTAATTAATCTGAGTGTATTAATCTGTTTAGAAGTCGGAAGTAGACAAACAGACATCAAACCTTGTTACCAAGAAACGCCTGTCATCACACATACCATGTTATAAATGGCCATCTTCTGCAAATGGATGGCGTCCACCCTCTCCCATCAGTGCTAAGTAAGTAGCTTATTTGCAACTGTTCCTGATATTTGTTTTACTGGGGTAAATTTTATATCAGTGTTTCATAGTTGAAATAATTCAGTATGCATGGTAATGTAAACGTAAAGAAAAAAACCTTTAATAGACCAAGGTTTTGTGTATTATAAAATATCATCTCATAATATATTTGATGAAATAGTATACTAAAAATTAATTGGCACACATTTATTACAAAACCATATCAGACTTCTATTAACTACTACTTTTTCTCAGCAGGCAAATCCAAAAGAATCACCCTCCATCACTCTCACCCACCATGTCGAAACAATCAACAGAATCTTCTTCCTATAAAAGAACTCGTGTTCAGCGTACCCTATTTACACAAAGTACATTAAGTAGTAGTACTATTGGAAAGAAAAAGGCAGTTTCTAAAATCACTAACAGCTCTGAGTCTGTGAACCAAAAGCATATGACCTATGAAGGTAAGTTCCTTCACTGAGAAGTTTATATTTTGGCAACGTAGAAAATGGTAAAGTGTGAGGACTAGTCAACTTCACTTTATTCCCCAATTCAGAAAATTTTAGGGAGCAGGATTTCTTTTAGATAAAATTTAACCAGTCACTGGCGCACTGCTTACTTTTCCTTATCAGAGCTTCTTACCTCTACCCCCTTGTTGTTTTGGAAATCCATTTTGGAACTGATGTTAAAAGTACCAGTTGGATGAGTGCATTGGTCTTGGGAATCCCTATGGGCCCTTCTAGCTCTGACAGTGGATGGTTCTGTGAATGGCCCTATGGTATTTTCCATCCTTGGAGAGAGCACATTTAGCCATTTGAAACTGAGCAGATTTTGTTCAGGAGCTGTAGGTCAGTTGCCATACATAGGCCATGTGTCTGGGTTCCTGAAAGTACCATATTGGTATTTTACCTGTCACATGTGTTTTTATTACCCGTTGACATTTCTTAATTTTAAATACACTGGGAGATTTTACTCTTTGAAGGAATTCCACGGTGAATTCTTTATAACAAGAACAATCTTTTTATTATAAATTATTCATTCCTGATGTCTTAAAATTATTTTTTATATGTGGTTTATTTAAAAGAAATTAGTCACATGGTCTAAAATATTATAATATGCCTTAATGTGGTCAGCTTATTTTATCGAGTCTTGGTTTCTTTGGTTATCTACAGTTAGCCACTTTATGATCAACCAAATATCATAATACACTATTATTAATGGTTAGCTAAACAGAAATTGTTCAATACAAGTGAAGCACAAATTTTAAACTGCATGCTGGATATATTTTTATTTAGTCAAGTATTTAAGATTTGTACACTTCATTTCAACCAAATATAAAGCTTGTTTTCCTCTATATTTAGTATGTCTTAATCCTTTTTTCCCATAGGATCAATTTAGTCAGGTATCTCAAAATAGATAAGCCAAAGCAAGAGAAGTACATTATTTCATTTTGGAACAAGTAGTTGTTAAAAAGAAAGTGGTACTTCTTTTGTTGGGGGTGGGGGGATTGTGGTTTTGAACAAAATCTTTTATATAATCACTTATAGATTGCTTTTATTAAATTTTAGACCATGTACATGTTGTTTGCTTTTCATATTGTTGGTTGTCTTGTACTTCTTTATTGGACCGAGAGGCAGTAAGTTCCCTAAACTAACTGTGTCCCATGTTAATTTAAACTAGAGTCTGGTAATAAAAGCACACCAGGGACTATGAATGCTGAGGAGGCAACAAAAATTTTGGGAGAAAAACGACGCCTTGCTCGTGAACAAAGACAAAAAGAAGAAAGGCTCCAAAAAGAAAGAGAGCAAAGGTCAGCACAAAATTATCCTTTCGATACTATAAATGTTGGCTGGAGCCCAAAGTTTGAAAGTCAGAACTAACTCTCAAGTTAGGTGGATTATGAATTCTCAAAGAGTAATTGACTTTCACTTCAGCTCGAATCAGAAATTAGTCACTGCCTTCTAAACAAGTGTGGGAAGCAGGTCAAGCATAGAGGACACTTTTGTGTAGATGACTGGGTATAGGCCTCTATCGTCTTCATGCATCATGTGCTCTGAAGGCATGCTATAGAGGTACATAAGGAGACCCAAACTCATGTCAGGGTCCCACATCTCAGCAGTAGCACCTGAGTGATCATACAGACAGTTTCTGTTGGCATTCACTGGTGTCAGCCCCTGCCTTTATTTCAGATGTCTTTTGTAACTTTAGAATTTGTAAACCTGGAAAGTATACTTTCTCGTGTTTTTCTAAGGGTGCTTTCCAATGACCTTTGGGACACCTGAATCTCTTCAGTCGTTGCTGGATTTCCTATGGGCACCAAATCTCAAGTAGAGTCATGTGCATTCTAACTTGATCAAAAGGTTTCTTGATCTCCATCTTTAGGCCCATTTGAGTCGGGGCTGTCGTGTAAACCTCTGTCCACTGCCTGTAAAGAATAACTACAGTTCTGACTTTGTTTTTAAGTATTAAGTGTTTTTGAAATACAATCACATGCATTGCATATACTTTATATGGATTTGGGAGAAAGGAGGAGAAGGGGATTTTATGAATAGCAAAAATGTATAATTCGAAGAATATTATTCATTGTATTATGTAAACAGCCAATTTAGCATTTTTTAAGCCCTGAATACTGGGCATTGTGGATTGGGCTTTCTTTCTCTGGGTACCACCAGACCCTCCTCTAAATTACCCCTGTCACACCCCCATGTGAGAATGGGTGTGAGTAGTAGGCCTTTTGGAAAGTCCTGTGTGTCAAAACCAGTTAAGAAGGAGTAATATTCTTCCCTCCTTCTTGTGTTTTGAGATGTAAAGTAGTCCGCCATGGGTTAGAAATCTTTTTCTACTCTCAAGGGCTAGTTTCCCCATTTTTTAAAAAAGGGTAAAATTGCATAAATCCTGTGTAGTAACAATAAAGGAAATGTAGTGAATCTGGTTTAAATATAAATAAATTGTAATTAACTGCAAGGTGTATATGGTAGAGACCAAGACAAATAACTGAGAGTAATTTAAATATTCTGTGTCATTAGGAAAGACAAAGATGTGGCGAAGAAAGTAGTTGAAGGCCAAGAAGAAGATGATGGACAACAACAAAAGAAAATAACAGAGAAGAAAGAACGTCAGGATCAAAAAGACCAGAAAGTGCTATTACAGGTTTGCTGGCTCTGCACTATATCAGGGCATGAGAATCGGGTTAAAAATTCGGTTGAAAACCCAAGCAAAAATTTATTTCTCCAAGAAGGAAAATAAGAAGATGCTACCTTCTCTGGCTGCATTTTTATATTACAGTCTCGCTAATACCCCACACCACTGCAAGCCATTCTCAGCCACCCTTGGAAAAATCCTAGAATGTTTTCCAAGTGAAACAAAAGCAGAAAGCAGCAAATTATAGATTAGCAGTCCTTTAGTTTATCTACATAAACAATATTGCAGCTTGGTTTCAAAAAATCTAAACTACTCAAACAGTTCAGACATCCTACGTGAGTTTTCCCAATCCTGTGTTCTGTTGGTGACGCAGTTGCACCCCCACACACCCTAACAGATAAGATAAAAATTACGAATACCTCTAAAACTTTAACATCATCAAATTCACCAGTAAGAATGTCTCACCCATGTAAATTCAAATCACCAGGTAAGTAAATCCCCAAACTGATCTCAGACTATACTCAGTTTGAATAGCCTAATTTGTACTCCAGTTTTACTGTGTCATTCATCAGAGTCGATTACATGTCACATAAATGATTGTATGTATTTACGTTCCTGGAGAAGGTACCTTTAAGAATCCTCTCGGTGCTTTTGAAGTGTTCAGACTTTTGGCTCTTCTCACTATGTTAAAGGATAGCTACATAATCATTTACATACTTTGAAACTATAGTGGTCTGATAATCACTATTAATGATAACCCTGAGGTTGGAGGGGATAACATGCCTTCTAAATCCTCAAGATAATAGCTTAGTTTTGTACATTTTAACTAATACTTTGAAAACTGATAATACAACATATAATACATATATGTTGTATATATAGATACTCTCAATCAAAAGGTAATATTCTTTTATGCTGGGTAACATTTTACTGTTTAACTTTTTAAACTAGTATTGTCTGATGTCATTCGGATTTATTGAGATGAAATATTTTTACATAAATTTCCTAGGAAGAGGACGCCACAATAAAAGCTCAGGAGGAGACTGACAAACGCAAAAAGGAACATCAGAGAATTATGTTACAGAATTTACAAGAGCG